ACAATATATATGGGAGCTATAGCTATATCTGAACCGATCTTCACCAAATTTGATATACTAGCTTCTAGACTCAATTCGGTCATAAGTGCCAAATTTTATCCCATTTGGACAAATATTAGACGCTTGGTGTACAATAAAAGGTAAATCGGACGAAGTTATATATGGGAGCTATAGCTATATCTGAACCGATCTTCACCAAATTTGATATACTAGCTTCTAGACTCAATTCGGTCATAAGTGCCAAATTCCATCCTATTTGGACAAATATTAGACGCTTGGTGTACAATAAAAGGTAAATCGGACGAAGTTATATATGGGAGCTATATCTATATCTGCACCGATCTTCACCAAATTTGACATACTAGCTTATAAACTTAATTCGGTCGTAAGCGCCAAATTTCATCCCATTTGGATAAATATTAGACGTTTGGTGCACAATAAAAGGAAAATCGTACGAAGTTATATATGGGAGCTATATCCAAATCTGAACGGATCTCGATAAAATTTAGCAAAGGTATTTCTGAGCTGCAGTTGATATATTTCCCTGAATATTGTTGTTACGGAGTGCATATTACGGCTGTGGGTAACAAATATAACAAATCGGATGAACAATATATATGGGAGCCATAGCTAGGTAAGGTGAACCGATTTCGATCAAATTTGGCATACTTATTTTCAGGCCTAATTTGGTTGTATGTGCAAAATTCCACACTATTCGGGCTGATATTAGATGTTTGGTTCACAATAAAAGCAAATCGGACGAAGATATATATGGGAGCTACATCTAAATTTTGACCGATTATCTCCAATTTCAATAGGGTTCTTCGTTGGGCCAAACAAATGATTTGTGCATAATTTCATCTGGATAGGGCAATAAATAGGAACTGTATTTTGTTTACAAAAATACATGGACAGGCGGATGGACGGACGGGCATGCATAAATCGACTCAGAATGTGATTCTATGCAGATCATCAAAAGGAAGTATGGGTCTATTCCGTTTCCTCTTGCCTGTTACAAACAAATGCACTAAGACATAATGCCCTGACCACCTTGTTACCGGATTCTGGAAAATGGGCAGAGTGGTCCCGCTACTGAAACCGGACAAGGATGCCAGCAAGGCGAATAATACCGGGCAATTTCGTTTTTGTCCCCCGTGACAAAGACTCGAGGCTTTATTCGTCCCCAGCATCAGAGGAAGCTAACCATCAACCGGGCTTCCGTTCACAACACAGCACCACAACAGCATTGCACCCTACATACACACACATATTAGTCGAGGAGTCAACCAGAACAGTGCCATAAAAGAGTAGGGGAGGCTCTTGACTTATCAAAGGTTAATCATACCACGCTGTTCGAGGATGTTGAGAATACTACGGCCCTCCGGCCGTGTTTGAAATGTTGGATTGTTATTTATATGTGTAAACGCCAGTCGTATGTAGAATGTCGGAACAATATGTCCAAGTCATGTAGAGTGACACAGGCAATTTCCCAAGGTATGTGGAACCGGAACCTCTACCCTTCGGGAATTCCACGCCCTCCACATATGCAAAAAACCAGCAGCTTCTTCTGTCCTCCAAAGGGTCATTCCATGACCAGGCTATCACTTTGGGAACCCCACTGACATATGATATTTTTGTATTTCTGGCAAAACCAGCTAAGACGGGGAGGCTACTGCCACTTTAAAAAATTACCCCAGTCGCAAGGCAAGGAAAACTGGTCGCTTCCGATTTCTGAACCTGTGGTTGCGAAGAAGACTGTCTGCCTGTCTTTTGTAATCACGCTATCTTTCGACCGAATTGAGATAGATGGCTAAAATTTTGCAAACATGTTTATTTTTTCAGTAGGCAGGTTAAGTTCGTAAATGAGCCATGTAGGTCCTCGTTTTTGTATAGCCCCCATATAGCGGTATCTCCCCATATTCGGTATTTTGATGATTTTAGCGACATCATTCATCGGAATTATTTCAAATTTGTTATTTGAAGTTCGTAATGGATACTACAGCCTATGACAGAAAATTGTCTGTGCAGGTCTACGTCTTCGTATAGCCCCCATATAACGGTACCTCCCGATATTCGGTATTTTGATGATTTTGGCGACATTATTTACCGGAATTGTTTCAAATTTGATATTTGAGGTTGGTAATGGATACTACAGCCTATGACAGAAAAATGTCTATGCAGGTCCAGGTCTTCGTATAGCCCCCATACAACGCTACCTCCCGATATTCGGTATTTTGACGAGTTTAGGTACAATTCCCACCGAAATTGTTTGAGATGTCGTATTTGAAGTTCGTAATGGATGCTACAGCCTGTGACAGAAAATTGTCTATGCAAGTCCAGGTCTTCGTATAGCTCCGATATAACGGTACCTCTCTATATTCGGTATTTTGGTGATTTTAGCGACATTATTAACCGGAATTGTTTCAAATTTAGTATTTGAAGTTCGAAATGGATACTACAGTCTGCGACAGAAAATTGTCTATGCAGGTCCATGTCGTCGTATAGGCCCCATATATCAGTACCTCCCTATATTCGGTATTTTGACGAGTTTAGGTACAAAACCCACCGAAATTATTTGAGATGTCGTATTTGAAGTTCATAATGGATGCTACAGCTTGTGACAGAAAATTGTCTGTGCAGGTCCACGTCTTCATATAGCCCCCATTTAAAGGTACCTTCCGATATTCAATATTTTGATGATTTTAGCGACATTATTCACCGGAATTATTTTAAATTTGGGATTTGAAGTTCGTAATGGGAACTACAGTCTGTGACAGAAAATTGTCTATGCAGGTCCAGGTCTTCGTATAGCCTCCATATAATGGTATCTCCCTATATTCGGTATTTTGGTGATTTTAGCGTCATTATTCACCGGAGTAGTTTCAAATTACGTATTTAGAGTTCGTAATGGGAACTATAGTCTGTGACAGAAAATTGTCTATGCAGGTCCAGGTCTTCGTATAGCCTCCATATAACGGTACCTCCGGTATTTTGGTGATTTTAGCGACATTATTAACCGGAATTGTTTCAAATTTAGTATTTGAAGCTCGTAATGGGTACTACAGCCTATGCCAGAAAATTGTCTGTGCAGGTCCAGGTCTTCCTATAGGCCCCATACATCAGTACGTCCCTATATTCGGTATTTTGATGATTTTAGCTACATTATCCACCGTTTATTTCAAGTTTCGAATTTGAATATAGTAATGGCTTATGACAAACAATGCCAATGTAGGTCCACGTCGTATAGACCCCATTATAACGGCTATATTCGATATTTTTTAAGATTTTAACAGACATTTTTGAGGGATTTTATTTTTGAAAATTTCCAAATTCGTTCCAAATGTTGGAGGGTGATCAAAGTTCGGCCCGGACGAACTTACTGCTTTTTAACTTGTGGTTTTAAATTCCGTTGCACATTCCAAATTTGGAGAATGTGTCTGTAATCGATCAATAGATATGTGCGTATAAATTCTAAATTTTTGGGAGGTACCGCCGACTCTGATGCTACATCCCCAGTTCCAAGTGGAATTTAAACAAGTAAAAAAGCAGCTAAGTTTGGCCGGGCCAAACTTTTAATACCCTCCACCATTTGAAAAAAAGCTTGAAAATTTTCAAAAAAAATCCGAAAACTATCACTTAATTGAAAACCGCTACAAAAGGGCTATACGAAGACGTGGACCTGCATAAGAAAATTTTTTATCATAGGCTGTAGTACCCATTAGTATCTTCCAGTATGACATTTGAAACGATACCGGTGAATAATGTTGCTGAAATCATAAAAATACCGAATATCGGCAGCTACAGTTATATGGGGGTTATACGAAGACTTGGGCCGGTATACAAAAATGTTTGTCATAGGCTGTAGTTACCATTACGAATGCGAATTTATAAATAATTCCGGTAAATAATCTCGTTAAAATCATGAGAATACCGAATATCGGAAGTTACCGTTATATGGTGGCTACGAAGATCTGAACCTGCATACAAAATTTTTTTGCCATAGGTTTGAAATTTTGCATACATGCATTGTGTACCAGTAGGCAGGATAAGTTCGTAAATGGGATATATCGGTCCACGTTTTCGTATAGCCCCCATATGACAGAACCTCCAGATTTTTGGGATTTTTAAGGGTTTCTGCCACAATTTCAATTCAAACCTGATATTTGGGGGGTTTTTAAAGGTCTGTTGTCTCATAACGGAAAATATTCCGATTCAGGTCAACATATATTTTTAATATTTCCCAAAAATACAATCAAGTCCCCAAGGGGTAGGGAGATTCCTGAAATATGGGCGTCAATATAAGATTGTAAGAGGTGAGTGATTCTTGACATTTTGTACTAAAAGGTACCAAAAGTAAAGTTTCTTTACTAAAATTCTACAGTTCAGGTGTCAACATTTTTCAAATTTCTCTTGTAATCAGATAAGCTGGGGTTTTCGGATATTTTTTTGCCTAAAACGATAGTACAAATGCTAAAACTTTATTTTTGGACTCAAATTCTAAATTCTCTTCGGGATTTTGAAGGCTTCTGCGACAATCGTCAACCAAATCAACTCAAACTTGACATTTGGGGATTTTGAAAGGTCTATTCTCTCATAACGGAAAATATCCGATTCAGGTCCACTAATTTATACAGGACCCACATATATTTTTAATATTTCCCAAAAATGTAGTCATTTCACTACTCCGCAATAGTTAGCCACCAGAATCCAGAATTTTAAGATTCCAGCTTTAAAATATATAAGGCATACTCTAAATTCCATATGAATTCCGCTCCCGGCACTAGTATACCAAAACAAAATATTGTCCCAAGTACTTTGCCACGACATCGGCATTTCGATAAATTTAGAAGATAACCACAAAGAAACGTAGTTTCTATCCAATTTTAACCACCTCCTTGTCTATTCTGCCTCAGCTACAAATTTAGAAATTTTCTTTTCTCAAAATTCTTTTTCCTTTCATGTTGTTCTTGTAGTTTCGAATTTCAAAAAAAAAAACTCACTTGCACTTGTTTTTGATTTCCTTTTCGTCGATGACAATTTTGGGGCTCTGCAGGAATTCCATCAGATGCGGTGGCAAATCCCTGAAACAATTATCGACCATTTTTTGGGTATTGCCACAGTGGACAAGGGATCGGTCATTGTTGCTGTTTGCTATCATGCTTGTTGCAGCTGTGGTGCTCAATGCTGACATTGCAGCAGCAAATACTGCAGCTGCTGATGAGGAGGATTCAGATTCACTCACAGGAGTGATGTGGTTGTTGTTGTTGTTCTTGTTGCGATAATTGGTATCCTTGTTTTCCATGTTTGCCGTGGGAGTAGCATTGTGGTTGTAATTGAAATCCCCTTGGGTTTCGGCATTGCCAAGCAGCAGGATCAGGGTGGTTAGGGTAAGGTGGAAACATTTCGGGGATATGTTGGAAATCATTTTTGTTTTGTGTTTTATTTTATTTTATTTTTTTTTTTATTTTTTTTTGTATTTTTTGGTTCTGATATTTTTTATTTATTTTTTTTTAATTTTTTTGAATTTTTTTTATTATTATTTTTTTTTTTGGTTTGAGTTTTATTTCCAATCGAGCTTTTAATTAACTTTATTAATTGACTTAATATTCGTTTCGTTAAATTTTGATTTTTCGATTTTCAATGATAACTTCTCAACTCTGTGTTTTTTTACGACTCACACATGACCAACTTTAATTTTCGATTCTCTACGAAAGGCGAGGTACTTTTTATTGCCTCTAAAAGCGAATAATTACTCAAGCCGTATTCTATCATCACATTTTTCCATTCATTAACTCGAAGCAATAAAATGGCACATAAACTGCAGGGAGAAACTTTTCACATCCTTTCATTAGCAATTATCCTTTTAATGTTGATGATGGATGCAAAGGAAACCAACAAGTGTTTGACGAATTTCAGACGTATCCAAAATATTCTCAAAAGAACTACCGTTACTCCTTTTCAATGTTTATGGCATCAAATCCAACGAATCACTGACTATCCTTAAGGATGCTGTAAAGGATTTTATACTTCCAGCCCTCAAAGGGGATTCAACAGTTGGCTGTTAGGTATTAACAGAGCTACTCTCTTTCATTGTCTCACTGTTATCAGAATTCCCAAAACATTCGAAAAGAGAGACAATTCTGGCGCATGGCCTTTTGGACCAAATGCACGTGTTTCATTTGTCTTTCATCCGGCACCGGTTCTACCATCCACCTCCCTCTTTCTATTGTTGGCGTTTTTTTTCAATTATTATAAAAAAAAATAATAAAACCAGTAAAGAAAGTCTTCAAATCGGGCGGGGCCGACTTTATGATACCCTACACCACTTTGCTAATTTAGTAGAGCTCCACATAACAATTAAACATTTTTATGGGAGAATTCAATCATACACGCCATGATTTTAATTATAATTTAAAGTTCAAAGGACTAAATATGCCGAAGCATTTGTATCTCTTAAATTCGGACTTGTATTGCCCATTTGGTGCACAATTAATTTGAAATCGAAAAAAAAATATATATGGAAGCTATATCCAAATCGGGACCGATCTCGATAAAATTTGGCAAAGATATTTCTGAGCTGTACTTGATATATATCCCTGAATATCGTTGTTATGGAGTGTATATTACGGCTACGGAGGACAAAAATAACAAATCGGATGAACAATATATATGGGAGCTATAGCTATATCTGAACCGATCTTCACCAAATTTGACATACTAGCTTCTAGACTCAATTCGGTCGTAAGTACCAAATTCCATCCCATTTGGACAAATATAAGACGTTTGGTGCACAATAAAAGGTAAATCGGACGAAGCTATATTTTTATGAGATATATCCAAATCGGGACCGATCTCGATAAAATTTGGCAAAGGTATTTCTGAGCTGTATTTCATATATTTGCCCAAATATTGTTGTTACGGAGTGCATATTACGGCTACGGAGGACAAAAATAACAAATCGGATGAACAGTATATATAGGAGCTATGGCTATATCTGAACCGATCTTCACCAAATTTGACATACTAGCTTCTAGACTCAATTCGGTCGTAGGTGCCAAATTCCATCCCATTTGGACAAATATTAGACGTTTAGGGCACAATATAATGTAAATCGGACGAAGTTATATATGGGAGCTATATCCAAATCTGAACCGATCTCGATAAAATTTAGCAAACGTATTTATGAGCTGCATTTGATATATTTCCTCAAATATTGTTGTTACAGAGTGCATATTACGGCTGCGGAGGACTAAAATAACGAATTGGATGAACAATATATATGGGAGCTATAGCTATATCTGAACTGATTTCGATAAAATTTGGCATACTTATTTTCAGGCCTAATTTGGTTATATGTGCAAAATTCCATATTATTCGGACTGATATTACATGTTTGGTGCACAATAAAAGGCAAATCGGACGAAGATATATATGGGAGCTATATCTAAATTTTGACCGATTATCTCCAATTTCAATAGGGTTCGTACTTGGGCCAAACAAGTCATCTGTGCAAAATTTCATCTCAATCGGATAATAAATGCGACCTGCATTTTGTTTACAAAAATACATGGACAGAAGGACGGTTGGACATGCATAAATCGACTCAGAATGTTATTCTATGCAGATCATCAAAAGGAACAATGGGTCTATCTCGCTTCCTTCTCCATGTTACAAACAAATGCACAAAGACATAATACCCTTACCACTATGTGGTGTAGGGTATAAATACCCAATGTTAACTGGTCAAAGTCTTTTCTATACTCTCTCCCATACATAGTATGGAGGGTATAGTTAGTTCGTCATTCCGTTTGTAACTCATCGAAATAATAATTTTAGACATACCAAAGTATATATATGCTGGATCAAGGTAAAATTCGAAGGCGATTTAGCCCTGTTTCGCCCGTCCGTCTGTCCGTCAGATATAGCCCATCTTCGAACTTGACCTGCCTGCAGACGAAGTACTGGTCTGTGCAAAATTTTAGCTTCCTATCCTAATTCGTTTCGACTATAGCCTCATTAGAACAGACGGACGGACGGGCGGGACAGGGCTAAATCGCCATCGAATTTTACGCTGATCAAGCATATATATATATACCTTGTTATGTCTAAAATTATTATCGTGGATGGTAGAACCAAGATATTATACAGGCCCCATATAATGGCAACCCCCCCTCGTAAATTCGGTATTTTGATGATGATGAAATTTTTCAATGAAATTGTCTGAAAATCCCTACAAGGATTTCCCTTTGAGTACTTTGTCCCCTTGAAAAGTATGCTCTATATAAGTCCACGATATCATACATTCTCATATAATGGTACCTCCCTATATTCGGTATTTTGATTATATTAGCTACATTTTCCAATGGAATTGTCTGAAAATCCACACATAAAGTTCTTTTTAAGCACTTTACCCCCTGGAAGAGAATTTTCTATATACAGGGAGTGACAAAAAATTGCAGCAAAGTCAAACGCCATAATTTTTTATTTAATTACTTTTTTTAATTTTATTGAGTGGAAGCAAAAAATGTCGGAAATAGCATCAAATCTTAGAATAAGTTTAGATTTGTTCGAATTGGTCACCTTTGGCATGAATTATGACCTTCAAACGGCCAATGAAACCGTCACACGGCCATGAAAGCAAGAAATGTGGGAAATAGCATCAAATTTTAGAATAAGTTTAGATTTATTCGAATTGATCACCTTTGGCACGAATTATGGCCTTCGAACGGCCAATGAAACCGTCACACGCTGCCCGAATGTTGCTCTGCGGTATTTTGGCTCATTTCGGGCGAAGCGGATGCTTGAGGTGATCGACACTTTGGTATTTTTTAGTGCCAACCTTGCTTTCCAAAATCACCCAGACACAATAGTCCAACGGATTGGTATCCGGAGATTTTGGTGGCCATTGTGCGCTGGAAATGAAGCGAGGAACCTCATTTTGTAACCATTCTTGGGTGGCGCGTGCTGAATATCCAAGGTCTGCGACCAAAGTGTTTGCATGCCCAAGACTTTAATACACCTTCCAGAATATGTTCGCGATAATGTTCGGTATTTATTCTGATGCCACGATTGTCGATTAATACGAGCGGAGAGCGACCATTGGCTGTTATGGCGGCCCACACCATCACCATGGCCGGCGCTTGAATTCTGGTGGCCAACCGAAGGTGCACATTTTCAGCTGACCTCTTTGGCAAGTAAACACGATCATTTTATATCCCCTTCACCATAGTATGGAGGGTATATTAAGTTTGTCATTCCGTTTGTAATACCTCGAATACCTTGTAATACCTATCGATATTCCGTACTTTAATGATTGTATTTCACTAGAATTGTTTCAAATTTGGTATTTGAGGTTCCAAACGGATAGTACAGCCTAAGACAGAAAAATTACTATGCAGGTCCACCGCTTCGTAAAGGGTCCATATAACGGTTCCTCCCGATATTCGATATTTTGATTTTATCGACATTATAACCGATTTTTTTAAGTATCGCATTTGAATATTGTAATGGCTTATGACAAATGTTACCTACGCAGTTTCATGTCGTCGTATAGACCCTAATATAATAGCTACATTCGGTATTTTTAAGATTTTAATAGAATTTTCAACGGATTTTATTGTTTTTGAGAATTGCCAAATTCGTTCCAAATCGTGGAGGGTATTCAAAATTCGGCCCGACCGAACTTACAGCTATTTTTATTTGTTTTGGTTTACAAACTGCTGGACAACGAATGTTTTCACATCGGAAACGGAGAAAACCAAATTCGGCAGTTAACCACTTTTGGCCAAGCGATGCAACTCTTTAGCTCTTTTGAGTCTATTTTCTTTGCGGTGTAGTTCTTGCACTTTTTGGATTTTCAATGGCTTTACCCCGAGCTCATTTTTCAATATTTGCCGAATGAAATAATGGGATATGTTCAGCTCACGAGCCATTTTTCGGCCACTGCGACGCGGGTTTCGATCAAGTCGCTTCTTTACCATTTCAGCTGTTGCTGTTTTCTTCCGTCCACTTCCTTGACGTCGGGCTATGCTACCAGTCTCGAGTATCACGGTAACGAGCGATGGTATGAGATACAAAAGATTTATTCCCATTTAAATGCTGGAGTGATCTAACGATAGCCACTTGTGGTCTTCCAAATATAAAAAAATCACACTATCACGCTTGAACTCCATCACGAATAACTTTTTTCTGAAAAATTCTCAACAAAAATGCTTTTGTACGCTTGTAAACAATATAATGAGCTGTCACTGGAATAATTTTAACAGCAGTCTGAAGTTTAGTGCAGTTTTTTCATCTCACCCTGTAGATTTCAGGATATCGTATAGCCCACATACAAAGGTAACCCCAGATATTCGATATTTTGACGATTTCAGAAGTGGTTTCGAATTTCGTATTTAGAGTTCGTAATGGGTACTTAAACCTATGACAACATATTGTGTATGCGG